AATTCAATTTGAAAAAATAATGATTTTCATTATACATGATTTCTCATGTTCTGTTTCGAATTATTTTATAGAATTTCGCGTTTATTATAAAACTAATCATCGATCATTTTTTTACTGTTCTTTTTTTAAATTTCCATAATCATATTCTTATTTATAAAAAGAAATTGATTAAAAATTATTGAATTTCTACTTACAAGGCTTATCTCCTTTTTCTTTTTGAAAGTTTTTACTTGCACATTTTCTTGTTGTTTGGAAAACGACAACTATAATAAATATTTCGAACGATAATACATTGAATATTCACAACACTATAGGATACTATGATTATCAAGCATAACATGCTTTAAAGATTTCTACCTAGCTTAAGGTCATTATCAACGGTTGTGACTTTGTTTTAATTGTTTTAAAGTATCTCAATTTATTGAAGTGAAACAAAAAGACAAAGTATACTAATCTAAGTAGAATTCGTTAGTGATCATGAATGGATAAAATTCAGAACTGATACATATGCATATATGGAATTGTTTTTCTTTATTTAGATGTAGTTCTAATGAAAATTGAGTATAGGATGTAATTATCGTTTATATCAATAATTCTTTCTTTCTTATTTAGAGCACTCATAACAACGGATTGAAAGTAAGTATTATTCATTATATATATATATTTCTTTTTGTAAAAGTTAATTCGATATGAAGTTTAAAATAATCCCCAAGTATGTTAGTATCCATAGATGGTGCTCCTCGACATTGAACCTTTTACTGTGATAAATATTCATCAGTTGTATTGATCGTCTTTGATCTGTCGGTCAATTGCCGACTTGTTTTCCTTTCTCCCGCTCGCTTTGTAGCCAGTTTTTGTCTATTATCTTCATGGAATGTTAGCATCTTTATTATTATGTTATTATAAATAGCACTATCCTATTTTATCTGTTACTGTCCCTGATCAACATATTATTCTAATTGAGAGTCTCATAAGGTATTATTTATAGAAATAATTTTATTTCTCTATTTAGATTCATCGCTGTAACGATTTTCACCGTAAAATTCATCTTTCAAGAAGCTCAAACAACCGGTAAATTACCACCTTTAGTCAACTGTTTTAGTTACTATGTTAGAATTGTACAATATCAGGTAAATAGTCAATAGGATAGATCGAAAAATATCACTCTGTGATTTTATATCTCTAAATAATAAAATGTAGATGTTGAGACGGTTTACATGCTTAGTTGTAATTGTTTATGCTTTACACTCTGAATGCAAATGATAGAAAAGTATTCATGTATCCTAGTTATATTAATATTAAAACTATTTTTAAATAATATGAATATAGATGGAATATGATGATTATATAAGTATAACTATAACTATGTTTCAGCAACGAAATAATGAAAAATAATTGAAAAGAATAATCATATGGATTTGTTCGGTACACATCATACTAAATCTTTTAGAAATTTATTTCATGATGTTGTATCGGTGGGGTTCATGGGGATTAGTGTCGCAAAAAGGTAACTTATTTTGTTCATTTGTGAGATAAATTGACAATAATCCGCATAAGACATCTATTGATTGTTGCTTGCTCTTGTAGATATAAAACTATTTCATTTATTAATATTCTTTTGATACCTGTCTTAATGAAACAAGAGATGATATGCGGGCTCATGAAAACTGAATAATGTCAACATGAATAAGTTTGATTGGATAACTCTATGATAAAGCTTAATTCCGTAAACTCTCATTGAACATCTTATCGAACAAACGAATAAAAAGATAAAGAGACGACGATAATATATCAAACGTTTGATATTGGAACTTGCTGAAATGCGAGAAGAAATAAAACAGCTACGCACCAAACGACAGAGTTAAGACGCCTCAATGAAAAAAAGTTGTTCTTGTTTAACGATGATATCGTTTATGCGGTTCAAAGATTACAAATAAAGATAGAAGAACACCTGATTTTTAAGCCCATATTAGTATAGACGTTAAATACAGTCCTTGCCAATTTTTCAGTGGCACTAAAAAATATCAGTACTTTTTGTGCGGAAAAAATAGTGATTAATTTTTTATTGCATATATATATGTTGCATGCCGATATTGCATAGTGAAATTCTTCTGAGCCATGCAAATTGTTTTATTTTTTATCAAACATTGTTTTGTAATAAAATTGCTAAAAACAAATTCATTTTGTCTTAGAAATCATTCCTAAACAACAAAAGTTTCCACCGCCAATAAAATGTGTATATTGCTTAGAAATAAATCAAGTCCACGCCCCTATGATGTTTTCCGGGTAACGCCCATAATGGTCTCTGCACAGTCAACAGGAATACATATAATGGCGTAATGCTTTTCTAGAAGATGTGTACGCGTCTATTACAGTGAGAATCGTACCCATACCTTGAAGAAACAAAACAAAGCATTTCTCACAACGAAATGATATTATTTGCTATGGCAATTAATTGAAATGTCGACAAAACTACCTGATGATATGAGACCCTTAAGTAAAGAGGAAACATAACGTTGTTTGCCTGACATCCTCTAACCAGGACGCTTGCAATTCATAACGATGTCGATCATTGATCAAAATTCATCATACGTGCGGTCAATAAGACAGCATGAAAAATTTGAATGCTATCGTATACAACAATTTACGTACGTCACTTTTTTTCATGCATTGTAAGAAACTACTGCTCGGAAATTCGGTTAAAATCGTTTCTTTTAACAATGAAATATGCGTTTAAGTGCGTTAGTTTTCTGTGACATTAACGACTGTTTAAAATAAAAATAAAAAAATGGTAAACTTGAATTTGGTCAAAAGTATGGATATTGAAATAAAACGTTTTTGTAAAAAAACGTTTAAATGAAAACTGTTTGGAAAGGCCTGTGATGAAGATGTCATCGAATATTGACTTATCTAATTGTAAATTTATGATCCATCTATTATCATCCTATTATTCATTGCAGTACAAAGAAATAGTCAAAAGAAGAATATGAATGAGAATCTTCAATCATTCCCAAAGAAACTTTTAGATTGTCTTTTAGGCTTCTTCTTTCAACAACAAACGTTTTATTTTAATTAAGTCTACTGCCTGATTCATCTTCACAACAAAAAAAAGGATGTGGGAGTATCATCTCAGTTTCGACATTTTTACTTTCGACTAAATTCAGGCTAATCCATTTTGCACTATAGAAACAGAATACTGATAAACAAACATACTGCACTCGTTATAATATTTCGACAAACATTCACCATAGTCGACACGGTGATATTAACTTACTTGATCTTTTTACATGTTTCAAACGAAACCAATTTAGATGCCAACATATGCCATTGTCATTGGGTAGATGTTGTAATTCAATCCCATATGCCTAAATATTCTTCACTATAAAAGGTGAGATTGGTGAATGTAAATTCAATTTTTCTCGTATCCAATCGAAGTGTTTCCTGGTATGTATTTTATTGACTATAAAACCATATTTTACTTGTCATATTACGTATGTAGAACTGGTAATAGAAGACTGATTTGAAAAATGTATCGCACTCAACTCATCATTATTATCATTGTTCTGGCTTTACTCATTATGGCTGTCGAGGGAGGACTTTGGTCTCAGTGCGGATGCTATGTTGCTTGCAAACGGCCATGCAAGGCAATGGGTATTTCCGACTGCATTACATGGTGTGAGAACAAATGTGGCTGTCGCAACGGCTGAAGAAATCAGAATCTTTCTTTATTACAAGACTAACATAGTTTAGAAACTTTTAGTATTCTTCCGAACTATTGTTATTCCCTATAACCCCAAAGTAATCATTTATGTTATCTTCAATTTAAGAGTTGGGAATAAATAGCTAACATCACCTAAGCAAACAGAAAAAAACTTGAGGGTGTGGGTGTGTGGGTGTTATTGTTAACTACGAAGTAGATTAAAACACATCCCGATTTCCATCCCGTTCTACAGACATGCATAAAAGATATATTATCTTCTCTTCTTTATAGTTATCTAAAATCATTCACTAACTTATCACAAATCAAGACAAACTCTTTTTTTTATTTTTTTTGAAAAATAATATTATAAACGTATATTGTATATGTAGTCAAGTCAAGAAATACGGACTACTTCCAGCATTTTCCTGCAAGAAACGGTGACTTGTCTCACATCATCGCTGTCGGTTCTTGTAGCATATATTCTGATAGCGATCGTCTGAAGTTGAAATTCTAGTAAAATAGCTTACTAAACAAATAGTCTTTCGTGTGAATTCCAAGTATTGATTCTATACAATATTTTTATTTACATTGTTTCAAAATTATTCATCGTCATAACTTGAATGATGGCTGTCACTATCATCATTGGAAGATTTTTCATCGCTGTCATACGATGAATTTTGTTCATCATTGTTTGAATTAAGATCACTACTATTATCCGAAGATCTGTTGTCAGTGTTGTCAGATAAATCTTCTTCGTCACAACGTGAGTCATTACTTACTACATTATCAGATTCGGATGTTTCGTCAGTTTCGCATGAAGTACTGTTTTCATCACTGCTTGATTTATGCTCTTCATTGTTGTGTGAATGATCTTCCTCATCGTCATCTGAATTATGATCTTCACTGTCAGTTGACTCATCTTTATCAGCATCACTTGTACAACTCTGCTCATCTGCATCGGAAGAATCATCAGTTGATTGCAAAATAATGAGTTCTTTTGTTTTGTCTTTCACTCGAAAACGTGAATAAGGAGAAAAGAGCCATTCTTCTTCCTCTTGAAAATATGAAATATTAGCCATATTTATTACTTGATGGCATGGCGCACTCACATGTATCTCAAATAGAGTTTTACCAAAACTTCTAGCTATATGTTTCTTTGCTGTTGTTGCAGTAAAACCTGGAAATCGAAAGAATTTTCCAATTCTAAAAAAATCCTGCTGTTGTTCGTTTAAATTCATGCCACGATATAGTATAGTGCCCTCATTCGCACTATTATGATTAATCTGGTAGGTAGCTCGGCGAATAAATGGCATTAACTTTGTTAATGTGTCCTTGTCATCTGCCAACAGTTGTTCATTAACGTACTTATAGAATTTAAGGGGACCAACGTCCATATAAGAGGAATATATTTTAATGGCATCATGTGAATCTGAATGTTTTTCTAGTGACACTAAGACTGGATGCGAACGATCATTAATATCTTCTATTGTAAGTAAGGATTCAACCACGGCACTACATGAAGGATATTTTTCCACTTGATTAGAAATTTTTAGAAATTGACTATTTCTGAATTGATCCTCGGTAACACCCGGTAATAAATTGGCAAATCTGTCGCGCTGATTAGGATACATTTTATCTAGAAAATAATCAAAAATCAGAAAAAGTATACAGAAAACTTTCGTCAAAAACTGGGATTTGAATAATATGTGGTAGATATTTTATTGCTTTTATTCGTGTTCCGTCAACAGAGAGATTCAGTAATAAGTATAGGTAGTAAATAATGAAATGCGCATGTTGAAAAGTAAAGTATCCATGTTGGTGAGTCATGCCAATAAAACAAATAGAAAAAAATCTTTTTCCTACGCATACATTCTCAATGACTTCTGTTGTAACCATATAGACGTGTAATTTTATCTGCATTGGTTGTTGACTTCAAATATCTGTTTGCAAGTGATGTTACAACTATTGACATATCTTATTAAACGTAAGATAATGTCTTCTCTGTTGAACTAAACTTATCAAATTATGTGAGTTGTTCTTTTTGAATATTTTTCGACAAAAACACACTAGACTAATATCGTCTTCATATGCAACGAGAACAAAAAATACTGCTCATATGATATACGATGCGGTTGATTTGATCAGTACCATGCGGCAAAAAAGGAGAATTTAAATATATCAGGGCAAATCTCTGCTTTAGAGTGTGGATGTTTGATTCATTAAATCCACGCATTACACCCCAGGTCGTTCATTCCTCCAACTGGATCCAATCGGATCTAAAAACGGATTTCCTCAGTTAGTAGGATTGTTATAGGATCCGATAGAATTTGTCGTCGGATTAGTCGACCTGGGACATCCTCATTTTTGCTCTGCCACAATCAACAACGAGATGTTACTGTGAATGTAAATGTGAATCAACAGTCTTCTCGTTAGATAAATATTTCATAATTCAAATGTCAAACTAATTTTTCACACTTAAATTCTGTTTCATGATACTTAGTGACATCTTTCGTTGCTTGCTGGAAACATAGAAAACCAAGAACAAAGATCGTAATTATTAAATAATATTATTTTTACATACGCGTTATGTTAGATTTTCTTTGGTAGAAGACAGTTGGTATGCTCGGCGATATAAAACACATATCATTCGCATGGTTAATGGCGCTTAACAACGGCTGCTGATTCGTTCGTTCTTTACCTTTTTCTTACTTTTCTTTCTTTTGTTTCCTTAACACAACAATTAAAATTGATTGATTATTAATATATTCTATTCTGTATTTTTCATATAGGTAGACATTTGATTTATTTTCTGCATAAATTATCGCTTTTTTTATTTTATTTTATTCTAGTCTTCCTCTATCCGTTATTATTTTTGTATTTATACTTTTTTTTATAACAAAGAAAAATAATTTAATCTGTATTATTCAAATTGTACATAACATAAAAAAAAGCAAAAAAGTATTTGACTGTACTATCAAAAACCAATGACCGATGGCAATATTGGAGGAATCGGTAGTGAAACCGAAATTATTGGTAGCGCTTCTGAAATTATTAAAGATCGTCTGTATTTTGCCACATTACGAATAAGACCAAGATCGACTGTTCATACACATTATTTTTCTATTGATGATGAATTCATATATGACAAGTAAAAGAAAAAAAAATGTTTTTTTTGCATACGTTTAATGAAATATTTAATTTCTGTTTCCGATTCAAGTTTCTATGCTGATTTCGGTCCACTCAATTTGGCTGTCGTTCATCGTTACTGTACAAAACTTAATAAGAAGTTAAATGTATGCATACAGCAATAAATAGCTTATTGAAAAAAAAGTTCTATTTAGAATCCAACATTGTCGCATAAACGAATTATTCATTACACAACATTTGATCCAAAGAAACGTGCTAATGCTGCATTTTTAGTTGCTGCCTATTCAGTAAGGCATTTATATTTTATACAGATATGTCAAGTTTTATTTTTCATGGATTCTAAAAACGAGTTGAATCATAGATCCACTGTTCGATTCTAATATTAATTCTCACAGGTTTTGGTAGCATAAATAAAAAGAGTTAGTTTAACTTTTTTGTTTTTCAGTGTCAGATAAAAGAAACATAAGCGCCTTCAAGTTTTATTTTTGTCAAATATTGTTTTTTAATTATTATTTGGTCTCATCATAGCCGCAAATAAAATACAATCTCTCATTTCGATGTTCTTATTGACATTACTAACTAGAGTCGATACTCTGAGCATCAAATATTTATGTCACAGAAAAAAATATGATTATTTATGGGATGTTCGTTAGTTTGCTAGACGAGGCGAATCTCTTCGATCGAGAAATAAAACTTGATATTATTTGTACATTTTTTCTTTGCATTATATTAAAAATATATTAATAGATTATTTATCTAAAACGAACACCTGAAGCCGCATATAAACCGTTGATCAATGGTATTAATGCTGCACATCCATTTTTACCTTTTCGAGATGCATCACTTGGGTCATCGTCGTATAACTTAACTTTACTAGATACGATGCAAGGTCTCTATAAGGTTAGCTAATAGTGTCACGTGCTATTTTATCTATGAATTTGATTTTAACTATAGGCAATGCTTCATGGATTTTTTGATTTTGAAAATTTTGATCTTGATGAATATGAGTATTATGAAGTGAGATCATTTTTGTTTCCTATATAAAAACTAGTTTTCTCATTTATTTTCCCATAGAAAGTTGAAAATGGTGATTTAAATTGGATTGTACCTCGCAAATTGCTGGCTTTTTCAGGTCCACATGCGAAGAGTAGAATTGAAAATGTGTGTAAATATATTTCTTTTTTTATTTGAATGTGTGTACATAATTATTTATTTTCAAGGGTTACCCTTTACATGCACCAGAAACTTATTTTACCTATTTTCGAAAACGTAATGTAACAGCGATTGTACGATTAAATAAAAAAATTTATGATGCAAAACGTTTCACTGATGCGGGCTTTGAACATCATGATTTATTTTTTCCTGATGGTAGTATACCGAGTGATGCAATTACATTGAAGTTTTTAACCATAGCTGAACAAGCCAGAGGTGCTGTAGCTGTCCACTGCAAAGGTATGAATTTATCAATGGAAGAAAAAACGCATTCGAAAGTATTCTTCCATCTTTTTTTCTTCCTCGTAGCTGGTCTCGGCCGAACGGGTACATTAATTGGAGCGTATTTGATGAAAAATTATAGATTTACAGCAGCTGAAGTAATTGCTTGGTTAAGAATATGTCGACCTGGCTCAGTTATTGGTCCACAACAAAATTATCTTGAAGAGTAGATTTTAAAATATTTTTTTGATGAAAAAATAAGTTTTACAATTTTTATTGATTTTTAGAAAACAAGCATGGATTTGGTCGTTAGGTGATGCCTATAGAACAAAAGATCGGCCACGATATACATTAACTCTTGGTGGAAATTCTACGGTGGATGCAAGTTTTCAAAATCCTCTTCGATATTCAATTAATAATGTTATTGGAGATTATAATAACATAGAAGTTCGTGTTTTTCTTGTTGGATTTCTCTATGTTTGTATGATACATTATTTCGATTTAGGAAGAGAAAGACGATGTAATTACTCAGGGTGATCGATTAAATGAAATCAAAGCACGTCGTATACATCATCAATATCCAACATCGTCAGCGAATATGAATGTCACTTCAAGTCTTACGTAAGATTTTATTTTATTATTATATTCGTTCATGAGATCGTCTAGAATGCGTAGTTAAAAACAAAAGTATTTAAAAATCAAAGCACCTAATTTAGATGTAAACATTGTATGAAACTGTATAAATCATTATCGATACTTAACAAGCACATTCAAAGTCAACATTATCGAACAACTAATCAAAAGAATCATAATGATCATCAATCATTAATGACATGTAATAAATGTATTAATAAAAAAATTTCATCAAAAAAATCATTACAACTACATCAAAGGCAAATGCATAACAACAATAATTCTATCGTCAGTGATAATAAAAAGGATAGGTACTTGAGATTAAATTATACATGCATGGATAAAATTTGACTAAAAACAAAAGTAGAGGGAAATCAGATATAATTTTGATTGATTCATTGTTTTTACTGCTCGATTTTAGTTTCTTTTTAATTGCTCGATAGTTGATTGTCGAATGAATATTCATTCGTAGCCTTATAGAAGAAGAAAAAACAATGAAAACTATCTATTCTAGTCTCTTCATTCGACCTTTGTCAGCAGAATATTTCAGCGATGATAAACAAGAACCACTACTACAAATGTGTAATAATCAAATGAACACGAATCCTATCAATATTTATGAAGTAGATGAACCTGTTGCATTCACTACTGTCGACTTGCAGAGGTTTTTTCATGAAAGCAATAATATAAATCACCTTTATTATTACTGCATATTTTCCCTATTGTTTTGATATGATCATATATATATATATATAATCCCATCTACTTTAACCGTATTTCTGCTTCATATTTTGCATGATTAGTTGCTCGCAACAATAAAAGAACCCGTAAAATGAATCTAAGCTAATACTAAAAATTTATTAAAGTAGGTTGGACCCATCAACATCATTTACACGTGCACATACATCCTTAACTTCTGCAATTAGTACGCCAATGCATAGTATGCCATCGACTGATATACGCCGTAGTTACGCACCGATGTCAACTACGTCTTCTAACGTTCTAATAAATACGACAACACGAAAACCTCGTTCATACATTTCATCGGCAACTTCAATGATGAAAGGGTAAGTATCAATTTACTTCGAAAGATCTATATTCTTAGTTAATCAAGCAAACAATTCTATTTATCATAATTGCCATTGAACAAATGAGATCTAAATGAATAAACAGTTTTTTTTCATTATTCAAAACTTTTTAGTCCTGTATATCCTCCAACTGGTCGCTATATGCATGCAACAACAAGTAACACTAATGCAACATTAACTATATCTGATACTGATAATCGTGACCCAATATCATCAACAATATATAAAAGTACACAACGTGGCAAATCTCCAGCAACGCCAATGTCTAGTATCACATTACCAACACATACATATTACACACGATCAAAATCGGTAGATGATTCATTTAATTATTTTCTTTTGTATATAATAACTTTTTTTTTATTTTAGTCTTATTCCAAATATTAATGAGAGAATATTAGATTTTACTTTTTCAATGCAATCTTTTAGCTAACTTATTCTCTTGAATTAATAATTTGCTTATATTTGTGTGTTTGCTATTCATTTCGAATGAAAGCGATTTTTTTTGTAGTGTCGAGATGAAGCAATTTCTTTTTGTATTGAAGAACAAGTATATTTGTCTTCTGTGTGTTTTACGAATGTTTTTTGTTTTGTTTTGTATATGTATATTCATGTAATTTGAAAAAAATATAACCTATCAAACTCAGAAAATTATTCTAATCATGAACGTTTGTGCTATGTTTTTATGGATTCATGAGTGCAATATTAAAATTGAGTAGTTCATCTCTCTTTCTCTTGTTGCGTAGACTAGCATACAGGAAATCGTTATTGAACATCGAACAAAAGAATTCTCCCGGTTCTTTTCTTTTGACTAGCATTCTTCGTTAGTTCTTTTTTCTTCTCTTGAAGTTAGCTTTTCTTTCTTGAAAAAAAAAATGATAGCATTTACTATTGAAGAAAAGAAGAAAAAAAAATAATGTGACGTAGTTTGATGTCGAAAACGTTATACACGCATACTCACACCGATGGAAAACAGGGAAAGAGAACAAGAACACTATAGTTAAGCAGCATACAAGGCGAAGAAGAGCTGTAGAAAGTACGCCGAGCGATTCTAATAAGAACAAGAGAAAATCTAGATACATGCACAAACAATTCATTGGGCACTCCAAAAGTTGAGCATGTAAGTATGCGATGAATACAATGATGCAACAAGCAAAGCAGCCAATTAATATGGTTATTGTCTACTGTCATTACACGCCAGATGTCATGTTTTATTTTTAGTTATTCATTAAGTTTTCACTGCGAATATATTTCACAAAATAAATGTTAAGCTCATTGAAAAAATGGGTTCAAGATGTAACGGTCGATCTTACTCCACCGCCACAATCAGGATCGTCCAGATCTTCTTCGAGTTTTTCAGCATCGTCAATACCTGGATCAGCACACAATAATATTTATTCAACAAAACTCTTTAATGAAAATCCAGAATCGAGGGGTTCAATGTCATCGGCAGTGTATTTATCTCGGCCAATGTCAATGGAAAGTGTACGAAGTTCAAGAACAGGCATTATGTCGATTCCACCACCACCGAGTTCACCTGTCGAACTGGATTTAAGTCATTTAAATCGAGAAGAACAAGAACACATTGCGAATGTATTACGGCGAGCAAGAGCTGTCGAAGAAAAACCATCAAATTTACTGCCAGTTACAGTTGCTTCAATAATGTCACCAGCAGCATCGATAACATCTTCAATATCATCATCCTCATCCTCATCATCGACAACCACTTCGACAGCTAGTTTTGCTAGTGAGCAACTAGAAAAAAATGATAATGAAATGTAAGCAAATTATCATTCTCTCGGGCTCTCCCTCCTGATTTTTCAACAGATTTACATTGACGTAGTTCTCAAGTAAAGAAACTTACGTAGATTCAGACTAGATTAGCTAAAAAATAATACTATAGAATCCTTTACATTAATATCGTATTAATACTTTTATTATTCATTTTATTTTTATTTTTAGTCAAGATGAGAACGAAAAATCTATAAAAATTTCGGAATCAACATTAACAAGTATTTACCAATGCCAAACATGCAGTAAAGAGCATAGAGAAAATTCATTAAATTGTTTCCAATGTCAAGAAAAAGAGCTTATTAAACGAGATATTGCGAACAATAATAGTTTTTCAAGTCACCAGGTAAATTTTGTTCGCTCATGCAATGTATAACTCCATTAGATTTTTTCTTCTCAAAGTTGCCATCGATAGAAAAATCACTAATGTCTTCGCCAATTGCACACAACACTTCTAAAGACAACGATACAAAACATGAAAATATTGTGATGATTGATTCGGAGTCAAACAAGCAAAATTCTTTTACACCAGAGACACAATCAAATCAAAATCATAGTTGTATCGAAAATCGAACTCAAGATAATTCATCAATTACTTCTGATTTATTACAAACAAATACTCTAACGGAAATAGATGAAAGTGAATTTTTCTATGAAGAACCAAGTCCATATGTAACAGTAATAAAATCAAATAAAACCGATGAATCAACCACATCATCCTATCAAATCGATGAATTTAACGATGAAGATCATAGTGATGAACGTGATCATGTTAAAGAATTAGAAGAAACTATAGCAAATTTATCTCGTCATTTTCCATCGGAAAAAATTGAGCAAAATTCACCACTAACATTATCGATCAATAATATCGATACAAGTGCGATTCTCGAAATGGAAATAGAATCACCATCAGTCGAAGAAGTTTCTTTCAACCTTCCAAAACATACTTCCGATCATCCTATTTCTGTTCCAATTCCAATTAATACTCGTCGGATTAATTTAAGTCGTTCATGTGGTATACGAGAAAATTTAACTGATCTTCTGATAACGCCTACAAGCAAACCTCATCAAATATTACAACGAACTTTATCGACCAATAGCAAGGTAATAGAACAAATCTATAAAAAAAAATCTCTATATTCTAGACCATTCATTATTTTATGAATATATTCATGTCTAGCAATAGAATCAATTGAATAAATTTGATTATTGATTAGATAGTAAAATCCGATTGCTTCTAGATAAAAATAAATATCTATAAATTGCTTAATGTGTAATAATAAAATTAAAAACAAAACAAAAAAAGAAAAAACATTCTAAATTGATTAATTGAAATAGACGATATTTCTTGAATCGAAAACGGTTCACATTGTTTCTTATTTAAAAACAAAAGATTTCCACAATTAATACTTTACTATTCAACTTTACCTAGAGTTCGAACAATCAAGTACTCGAAAATCTCATGAGTTTCGTTTTCCCCTAATGATAATTTGCATTTTATAAGAATAGAACCAAATATATCATGATGCAAGTGTTTTTTAAAGCTTCTTTTTTTGCACTTGGAAATAGTCTAGCTGTAGATTTTTTTCTCTTCGTTTCGTGACATGGAAATGAAATAATGACAGTAATGAATGCTAATATAGAACGAGAGAAAAACTGAGAGGAAAAAGCCTAGTTTCCTTATATTTATTAACAGTCGTATTGTATCGTATACAACCATATTTTCAAGAATGATTCAAATCAGCATTGGAATCCTAATTATAACTTTATAATTATGTAAAGTAAAATATGAAAAAAAACTGGAATCAATTACGATATTTGGGTGCAATGAGAGTGAAAGAATGTTTCCGTTGTCATAACTGTTTGTATTTACTTTGGTATATTACATATAGTATATTTGCACGGTAATTATTTTCTACCATGGAAACTATTGCATTTCTTAGAATAGATGTCTTTTTGTAACAGCATTCTTACAAGCGCAAAAGCAAGAAAACAAGTAGTAGCAAACAAATCGACTCTTGAACAACACCTTTTTCGATCGACTGGCGTAGAAAGAGACTATTGAACCAATCGACTAAGAGCAAAAGAATGGCCCATGGGATCTATAAAAAAAAATAAAAATAAAAGCTCATACGGCTAGAAGTTACTGTCAAAAGAGAAAATGCTTTTTAATGAAAGCTATATATATATATATATATTCCTGATAAGTCGGACGATGATGAATATGTTGATGTCAAGATTTATATAATCAATAGCATTGAATTTGTACTTTATTTTAGCATATGTTATCAATAAATCGACAGAAACGCAATTTACCGTCGGTACCAAGCACTACTACTACTACTACTACTTATTCTAATGAATTGCAACTGCGTCGAGCTAATTCCGAATCTCGTTTTAGTCTTCCAGCTGTTCCATTACCGATATTAATTCCACAACAGAATCTCGACGATGAAAGTGATTTACTTGAAATCGACCTCAATGATCCTGTTGGTTCAATAAAGAGAAATTCATGTTCAAAGAGTGATTCTGAATCTAATAGAAACAATGAAAAATCTCTATATCCAATAACATTCAGTAATGATAATTCATCAAAAATTAAACAGCTACGAGATCAAACAACAAATACTCCTCCAATATCATCGTTAAATTCATCGAGAAAATCGAAAAAGAAACTAAAACAGAAAACATCTTCTCCACCCAATATTACTAACGATTCGATCAATTATTCCGCTAGTTCATCGGTCAGAAAATTACAAAAGGTTTGTTTTTATTTTTCAGGCAATATTTCAATCGTTAACATTTTTTTTTCTTTTTCACAGAGTACAAGTACAGAAATAACATATCCATTTCCGATAACAAAATTAATTTTAAACCCATCAAAACATGGTGTTTCTACTGAGTTTGGTTTTCGTATAACTGGTGGTCATTCAATTGCAAATTGTATGGAAGTAACAGCATGCATTGAAGAGATTAATATTCATCATCGAAATTATGAAATACTTAAAAATGCTGTTCACGAAGGTTCGTTTCATGTCGTAGTGTCCTAGGAGACTTTGATAACAATAGAATGAGACTCGTAGATCAATTAAAAGATTAAAAATAAATTTGATTGAATCTCGATGAACGAAGGTCAAATGTTTTTGTTTAATTTGTTCAGCTAGTAAAGAACATAGCAAAAAATTCTAGGACTCTATTGGAAAAACGTGGCACTGATTAGGATTAGGTCAGATCAGCTTCTCCCTCTCTTTCATATGAGAATTAGTTCATAGTCACGTTGACATGTGTGCTTTTAATTGAGACGAATGTCTTATTTCGTAGTCGATCTAATTGTATACAATTTTTCTAATACGCATTTTGATGTGAAACATGCAAACCAAGGAAGAAAAGAAAAAAATTAAGAATGTCCTACTAAAAAATGATTGCGAAAGGTTTTAGTCAAGACGTCCATGAAAAAATCCTTCTAAACGTGAACTAATACTTTATATGTAATCGAAAACAGTTTTCTATATTAATTCTAAACATGACGCTGGTCTCCGATGGAAATATTTCTTTATTGAGAAGTGTTACTTTTATCTGTAAAACATTAGGATCAGCCCTCAAGCATTCACGCTAATTTCCGCTAACACTATATCCATGTTTTTGACGATAAATCATTCTAGAAATTCATACAATATTCATTATGTTTCCATAAAGGGATTTAGCGTTAGAGAAGAGCATAATTGTTTTTCTCAAATTTCTAAGAGCTTTTATTTGGGGAAACTATCAAATGAAAAATATAATTTCGAATCATTTGTAATCTTCTCAAGAACGATCGACTGAAATTCGAGCTTCTTTTTAATTTGCATAGAAAAAGAAATCCTTAATCCTGACTCGAGGCATTATTCTTCGGTGAATTTTCTATCTATGCTTTCCGACTAATGCTCGTAAAGCGAACAAGGGCTTTCATGCCATTACATAATCAATATATTAGAATATAGGTTACCATATTTAGATCATTAAAAAATAGATTTCAAATTTTTGTCACCTAACGTCCGCCTGGAGATGCAGATATTGTTCCACCGTCTCCCTCAATAGTAATATCGATTCATATTTTCAAGTAAAAATAGCCATTTCTTTTTCTCTTCATTCAATTATACTACAGGTGATGAAGTACTTGAACTTGGTGGTGTGTCATTACGTGGTAAAAGCACTCTATTTGTCGAAAATTTAATGAATACAATACAAAATGAATTCGAAATAGTTGTTCGTAGTCGAAACACTAATATAAATGCAGATTTATCATTAACAATAGATACAACTTTGCCACGAAGACATTCAATGAGTACATCACAATTACCATTGAATGAACCAACAAATAACAGTAATAATATAGTTACTAAATCTAAATCAACATCAATATCTTCTCTTCATCAGAAGCCAAAAGTAATGATTGACAGTTCTGATCAAAAACAAAATCTTCCACCAATCGTAAAAAAATTCTTTTAAACTGAATAAACATAAAGAAAAATAAAAGCCCTTTCAATTATTCGTTTTAGATAACGTTGCCATCGAATGAAAAATCGATCAATGAATTATCATATCGTCCTCGTCCAAGTTTATTACCGAACGATCCTGTAAGCAATGGTGTTGGTAGTAATATAAGTATCGATCAACAAAATTCAAATGAATCCGATGAAAGTGATAGTTTATCACAATATTTTCATTCGTCAAAAAAACAAAATTCTACTATATCTTCAAAAATCAATCCACCCGGACCACACGGACGTAGTCAAAGTGTGATACCACTTGCCAGTGATAATATAAGTGCATCCAATCGTTTACAAGGTTTTCTTGCATCGGATTCTAAACGATCATCAAAAGATTCAACAAATATCGAAAGAAAATCTTCATTGGGCTTAGTGTCATTACAATTTCTAAAGAAAAAAACTAAATCAGTCGATTTGTCTCATAAAAAAAATTCTTTACTTTATCAACTGAGAGAAAATCAATATGCTGGTGAAATTGAATTACAAATAAGGCATGATAGTGAACGTGAACAATTAGTTGTAGTGATTGTTCGAGCAAAACATTTATTACCAAAAGATACAAACGGATTTTCAGATCCATTTGTAAAAGTTTATCTATTACCTGGACGAGAGTAAGTTAATGTTTCGTTCTTTTTTTTGTATTTAAAAGTTTCGGTCGATTTAGCATGAAGATTTTATATTGAGGGTATTCGAATTTAAATCAAGCGACAGGTCAATTTTTTCGTACGAAAATAAATATACTGTCAGAGTTAAGAAATTGAAACAAAAAGAATAGTCTAGTGAGTTTCACTAGCAACTGCAAGATATATGATCTTCATATTAGTTTGCGAAGAGCAACTATGCATACATAACCTGAATGAGTGTATTTAATCATTCGTAGAAATTACAGTCATTGTTTTGACGTTTTATCTCTACTTCTTCTCATCGATCAATTATGTATGTGAATCGATTATAGATAAAGTTTATTTAGTTCCTGTACCTAAACTGAATAAACAGTCGAATTTCTTTAGGAATGATCACGAAGACTCTTAGAATTGTGATTGAGTATAGGCGGGCTGATTTCCATGGAGAATTATTCATTTTATAATGGTTTCCGATTGTTTAAAGTAATCTAACACAGCACGTGTGGCGATGATATTTGAGATGTTAAGTAATAATGATAGATTGTCGAGACTGATTTCAAAATTATTCAGTTGAATCTACTACCGAATCCTCATTCAAAAGATTATAACATCTTAAAATGAATTTGAAAGAAGTCAGTCTTTATCTCTGTATAACGTTGATAATCAAAGTACTCGTAGCCTATGGCATAGAAGTCTGGATCCTCAAACAAAATCATTAATCTCTAAGATACGTCAGAGTTGCTGGTTGCAATCAGATTTTCTTACTCTTTCCAAATATGTATTCAGGTTTTCACTCTAGGTTACGACTAGAAAATTTGCATTAGGTAATTTGAAAAAGTTCAGAACAAAAAAAGTGATTGCAAAGATTACTATCTTATGCGAATTTGGTATTGTAATTAAAATTTATTGAACTCAAAATACTCATTTATATGATAGACTTTGAAAGCTCGTTCGTAGATAGAAATTTTAATTAGTGTAATTAACGAATCAATTTTATATAAAACTCGCGCTGTCTAAGTCACATTTTTAGTTATTAGTGAATCAGTTATACTGACAAATGATTATTTTTTTTTCTAGTCCAGAAAATAAACGTCGTATCAAACATGTAGCAAGAACATTAAATCCTGTTTGGAATCATACTGTTATCTATGGGAATATGCATCGAGAAGAATTACAATATAAAAAACTTGAATTTACTGTCTGGGACTATGATCGTTTTAAAGCTAATGATTTTCTTGGTCAAGTTACGATTGATTTAAAAAGTAAACAAACGAAGAGAATTGTTGAAAGTTTATGAATTTTTCATTTTCACCTCTTAGATCCGAATGTAATTGATGATAAACCTCATTGGTATCGGCTTCAAGCACTGCGTTCTCGTGAAGAAATAACAAATCGTGGTTCATCACCACGTTTAAATAATTTGACATCAGGTGATTCAGCAACTTCATCAACATTAACAATAAATAAAGTTTCTGTGAATATACAACCGCGTACTAATCAACTAAAATAATCTTTTCAAATGTGTCCTTGCTTGTTTTTTTTTCTATTCAGATGTTAATATTGAAGTATATGTTTACTTTTTTTTGACAAGATAAAAACAACGTTAACTATACAATTAAAATGCAAACGAAAGGTTCTTCCTCTCATTTTCTTGATGCTCTCTATGAAATCATTTGATTAGAAATATTTTTCAACGGCAGAAATAAAACTCCTAAAACATAACGTACGCAGGCTATTTCAATTTGAAAACGACGAAGGAATTAAACGTTGTTATGACGTGATGTGATGTTAACAATTTTACGCCGCTACCAATCATAGATAAATAACGCAGTTCTTGTCCGTAATAGAGTTCATTGAAGGTCACATATTTTACATGAAAAAAAGGAAGCTTGTCGAGTCCTTGAATTAGACGATATTATTTCGTATAGGTTATAACTCCCATTGGAGATATTAGAACAACGTGTTGCTGCCACTGTATTAGCTAGAAAATGAATTTCTAATTGTATAAACTCTAATTTCCTTAGTCGTTTATTTAACATCACACGAATGTCAATATTCTATAGAATAGTTATGGATATGTTCTAAGATCTTTGTGTCCTTTAAATATCATTTCTGATTATATTCTTGCTCTATAGACATTTTGCAATTTCTAATAACAAAAAAAAATAGTCATTTATTCTTTTTTTTAAATTATAAAAAATAATCGAAAAATTGAAAGAAAAACCTAATTATCATCATCTGTGAATGTTCGACAGTATAAATTTTTGATAATTAATTCTTTGACTATTAACATATAGAATTCAATATTTGTCAGAAGGCAATCTGGTGAAGGAGGAACAATGTCATTATTCCGATTGATACACAACATGCTATCGATTTTCTTTGCATAACTACAAGAAAAACGATATTATTGAGAATTAAAATGAAGGTATGGTCGTCTGAAGTACACGTAACACATAGACATTATAACATTACATAATTGTGACAGAATGAATGATTTTTTTTCTGTCTGTCCATCTATATACTCCAACAGCGATATTCATAGTTAATGCATCTCTTGACCTGTAATTGAGAAATATTCTAAATGTGATCCTGACCTGACATCACATATATATATATTCTTCTGTTCAATGGTGAACATTATTCAACGAGAGTCTCAGAATACAAAAAGTAAAACTCTTTCGTAACATAACTGTATATCTTGGAAATTATCTAGAAAAAAAGATGTGAAAATCATACAGTTTTCACTAACGACCAATAGTAATTCTCGATGGCTTTTGTATTTACAACATATGTATATATTGACTTTGTTTAATTTAGATATTGTTGATAACTTCTTTAGTTTCATATAAATAAAAGGCAATGTCATTTGTTTCGAAAACCTGATACCATGAAAATGCATCTATTTCAAATATTTAATATGTAAATAAAACTTTAACCTACGTATTAATCTGTATGGGAATATAACTTTGTTTTACGTTGCAAAATAATATGATATATTATATTTTTATATCAAAAACAAATATTGATATTGACTTAACAGTCAAAAGAATATATCAGTGTATAGTATTAACATAAAAGTACAAAATAGTATTTCAAATGACAGGTATACCTACTAAAAACGCAAAGTACAAATAGTATCGACAACTTTTAATGTATATCTTGCTCAGAAAAAAAAATAGAAAAAGCTGATATAGATTAATTTACTGAGAGTATCATTTTATATTTATGATTAGAAAAAAACTACAAACATGATTTTTTTACTTAGATAATAATTTGCACTGGAAAGTATTTCAATTAACTACCTTTCTCACGTGACTTGTGTGCGCGTGTTAGATGTCGTTAACTTGCAGTGATGAATACAGGTATCGATCGATATATAGAGCATAACTCGATATGATACTTCGTTGTCTTTGGCAGCTATCAATAAATTTTATTTTCTTTATCTGATAGTAAATCATGCGAATAAATATATCATTTAATGATTGATATGACTCATCGATATTGTTTTTTTCTTTCTGTTCTCAGTTGTTAGTACTCAACTCAATCTATTTGTTCAATTGTGCGTTGTAGTAATAGTGAACAGAAGCTACGTTCAAGATATTGGTAGCTTCAGTATTATTGTATTAATAATCGAATGTCTCTTAGTCGTCAAAATATAAGTCGAATAGTTTTATCAACACGACCTTGTTCATCACTAAAAAGTCTTAGTCAACAAAATATCTACTCTCAATTAGAACAAACCTGTCTAGTAAGTTATATAAATGTTCATTTATTTATTCGCACGTATACAACCGATAAAAACCTTGATTGAAAATAAAGCCTAGATAAAACATGTATGAATTTCGTAGACGTGCATTTTTTTTCAACTCTCATTGCCGTTTTGATATTCGATCATAATTATTGTTTTAGCACAAAAAAAAAGGTTTACTTCAATGAAAATAAACTCAGAGCTACAAGTAAGAAACAATCAATTGGGAAATAAGATATATTATTCATATTTTGCATGTTCTTCAATTGGAAATTGCACGAACCCAGAGTATCTTTTCCTATAACATACGTTTGAAAGTGCATGAGGAAAAAAAGATATATTCTATTCAAAAATTGAAGATCAAGACTCGTCGGATAGTAAACTCATTTGAATCTCCTCCGAAGGTTTTATACTAAGACCAAGACATTGTTTGCATAGTTGAAAAGTATCTCGTTGATTCTACTGATAAGAAAAGAAGAAGAGAGAAAAGAAATTCTGTTGTTGTTCTTCATCGACAAACTGGTTGAAAGCTTATCTATGGGTTTTTTTCTGCCCTTTTTGTCTGTCGCCACATGCAATCTATTGTGCGTGTACGTTAGTTGATTAGAATACTGTCTATGTTGTTCCCTAAAATAGGATCCGAATTTGAATTCGATGTACCAGAAACAACATCAAATCCTGTTTTACGTCCATCGCTGTCCGCCCCTTTTATTGGTACACACCAACAAGCATGGCCATCAAATAGTGCTCGATCTCTCGGAAGGGAATCTTATCAATCATCTGTCGAAGATTTGAGTTTAATCAATAAATTTGTTTCAAGTTTTCGAATATCATTTCATCAATCTAATATACTTAAACAATTAAAACAAAGATGTAGTAATAATAATAATAATAATCAGGTAGATCGATAAGACGAAGTCACTTTTGTTTTGAATAGTTTTATAGAAAATTGATTATAATTAAATATTTCTCTCATTTTATAGAATACAGAACAGCCACAATTGATCTGCGAAGAGCGACAAGAAAATGCTATATTTAAAATCTTTCTAAAACGTCTGCGAAAAAAACCACCAACATCTATTGGATCATCTTCTGATTTCAATAGATTGCTTGATGATCACGATGAACAGGTATAATAGAATTGCATTGAAAACAAAAACAAAGTTAATTTATTAAACATAGAATGAATTAAACAAAAATGATCAATCGACACTTCTGTATTCAACAATCAAAATCTATCAATTAAAAGCTGGTACGTTGGAAAAAATTGTCGAGTGTTTGACTAATAAATATGGTGATTTGGATACAACACATATGCTTATTTTATTTGCAACTTATCGCATCTATACCAATACTAGAATATTGATCGATACAATTTTGTCTCGTTATCAAGCCGTTTTGCCTGCTTCGCTTGATATGACGGAAGATGTTCGACAAAAAACTCTCAAGTAAAAAAAACTCAAAGCGTTCTCTCTGATTGATTTGAATACATGAAAATATCGGTTTCTAGGAGTCTTTCTATGGCATTAATTTGTTTATTAACAGCATATAAAGAAGACTTCAATGAACCACCATATTATACAATATTAAACCATCTTCTTCAACAAATAACTGATAGAGATGTACACAATCAATGTCAAAGTTTATTGAATCGATTTTTAACAGAAGAAAATACTTCTAAATCAACTCCAAGTAATTGATACAAAGTTTTTTTTTCTTTCTTTTCGAAATGTTTTTCGTTTAGCTATGTTTACATTAACACACGATATCGATAATAATAACAATTCAAAGAATCTCTTTACTGATAATATTTATAATCAAAAAGGACTTGAACATAGTATACCAAAGAACCTTCTTGAAATGTCACATGTTATGATTGCCGAACAATTGACAATCGTTGATGCGGTATGTTTATTTGATTAGTATTAAATTTAACTCATTCTGAATTTGACTGCGCACATCTTTTGTTGTAATCAATGTTAGAATATATAAGCTTGCTAATCAAATTTTATTGATTAGATTCACATTTGAATGCGACTATTTATTAAACCTAGATCCGATGAAACCCCCTATGACGAAGAAAATAGTTTGATCAACAACAAGACCTTGTCTAAAAAATATGTTATTCCAGCGTATCCTAGATAAAAACTAATTTGTTTTTTCTCGTTGTCTCGAACGATAATACATAAAACAATTATATGCAAGAAAAATAACTACGCGGAGCATATCGTCGCCCTGACAATATATCTTGATCTATTTGACATCAATGTGTACTTTGTCCAGCTCTATTTTGTATCGCGGAATATGTTTCAGATGTTTTTCACTATCATGTAGTATGACTCACTGTAGATATATTTTCAAAGTAGAAATCTATCCTTGAACAAAAAACAGCTTCAAAACGAACGAAAACTCTCGTATAGATACTCGGCTGTGTAATCTTTAGTTTTTTATTTACTTAAGAAAACATCTTTTTCACTGACTTTTGGCCGTTCTGACGAATGATGTTCTATTGAAAAGATAAATACATTTTATACTACTCGTTACGTGTTGACATTGCTTATGTAAAGGAAAAAAAATATTAAAATAAATGAGGAAACATCGGATTCGTATCCGATTGTTATGTGTACTGCAAAAACTGAGTCGATTTATATATGTTTTGAATAATTCTGAGAAAAAAAAAGTTTTTTTTGAAAAACCCCTGTATCCCCCCCCCTCCAGGGATGGTCTGATCAATAATGACAATTTTTTCGATAACTCAGCCATTTCTTGACGGATCCGTCTCATCTTCGAACTCGACTAAGATATCGATGAGATCATTCTGGGTACAAAATTTCAAGACAATTGGATGAGGCTTTTAAGAGTTATCGTGTTAACGGCCGGACACACTGACCGAATCTAGAGTGTACTCACGTTTTGAGTACACAAAAAACATGATTCATATTCATTCCAATTAACATGGTGTATCTATCAAAAAGAAAACATATCATGGCGATTGAGTCAAATACGACAGAAGCAACAAAAGATAAAAATTGGAACGGTATTTAATTGTTCTAACTCTTATAGAGTAGCTTTGTATCTTCTACACGAGCATTATAAATGTAGCTTGGATCGTTCAGAATTCCCCGCTCAAAAAGTGCCGGAAAAAATATACAGAAACCTTGAAAAAAAGTCTATTAGTCTTGTTTTTCATTAAGCAGATATATATTCATCTTGAAGATGTCTTGTAAAATTTATGCCAAGAACATCTTCACTATGTAGAACTTCCAGAGAAAGCACTACGATTCATAGATTCTTCTTTTGAAGATACAACACTAGTTTTGAATTCAAAAAAACCGATCGACTTAAAGAACTGCTGATTTGTTCTTGACTGTAACATAGGATTGACGCTAAAAACTTCAAATATTTTTCTAAGAATTCATAATTCATTTAAACTAGTTGGACAAATTTCGTCCTATGTTGTTCAGTAATTTATCTCGTAAACTTCCGATTCAAATATTTTTCAATCAAAAGAGAAAGTGACATTGAATGGGCATTTTTTTGTATTGCTGTTTAGGAACTATTAAAATGTGTTCTACCTCATGAATATTTAACTATGCAAGGAAATAGCAATAAACGACGAGGATTAAACCCTATGAATGTATCATCAACTGTTGATAAAACAATTGAACAATTCAATGCTGTTGTTAATCGAGTCATAGCAACTATATTAACAGAATTAAATGAACTAACGCGTGTTCGTCTCATTGAAAAATGGATTGATGTTGCATATGAATGTCGACAATTAAAAAATTTTTCTTCCTTAACCGCTATTCTAACTGGTCTTCTATCTGGATCTGTATATCGTTTGACTAAAACTTGGTCTCAAATTAATATACAACATCGTACGGTACTAAATGGACTAAAAAATATTTTTGGTAGCTGTGCCGATCGAAAACAAGCACGAGATATTCTTGATAAGGTAAATGAATTTTGGTTTATTTGTGTTCGTAGATATCGAGTTATTTTGTTTCTTCGTTTATGACACGTAATGATATGTATTAGAAATACTAAAAATAAAACTATATATTTGCAGCAATTAGATGAAATTCGTCTGACCTTACCAGAAGACACTGTAGGTTTAAATAATGATCGTTGCTTGTTTGCTTTTCTATCCACATGCACAGTAGAAATAGCGCTGCACGCATATGCATGATATTACTTAATTTTGTAATTGCTTAATTGAATAACTAATTTTTTTCTTTTTTTAAATATAAATGTGGTCAAATATATGTATAGGAAGGAACAGCAAAATATGTTGATGCCACAGCAGCAATGAATGCAACGATAAGTAAAAAGCTTCGCTCAAAAAAATCTCGCAATCAAAAACAAGTCAGTACTTGATCGATTTTATAGAAATAAAAATTGGAAATCTACTTTCAATAGATGATGATTGGTACAGTTCCGTATCTCGGATTATATTCAAATGACTTAACTTATATCGACTCTGCACATAATAATTATATAAACAGCAATGAAAACGATAAATCGTCACAAAAATTGATAAATTTTGAAAAAAATCGTAAACAATTTGAAATATTGGCTAAAATTAAATTGTTTCAATCAGCTGCGAATGCTTACACAACACTTCAACCGTTACCTGATTTTAAACATTGGTTTGATAATATTCAAATATTTACTGTTGCTGAAAGGTAATCCATTGAATTTTTGTTCAATTTTATTAAAATTATTATTCTAGCTGGGATCTTTCGTATCGAATCGAACCCAAACCAATGGATAATACTGATAAAAAACAAAAATTACAGGATGATCCTTCGCCCAACTCTCGTGCCAGACCAGTTAAAGCGTATTTAATTTATATTTAGTTAACTGTAAGCTCGATTTTATTTTATTTTTGCTCGTAGATTTCCATCCGAAGTCTCACTCGACGTATTTATGACACGCAATAATCCAGCAAGAGAAAGCAAACCAGTGTTTGGCGGTTCATTACGTTCATCGCCATCATTGAATTCATATGATAAAATCAGTTTAACATCAAATCATTCTTTTCCACATCGTCAACAATCAATATGTAGTCTGACCAACAAGGTAATTAGATTTGATGAACAATATTTTATTTCAACCTTTTCCAAATGACTGTTTTTTTTTCTTCTTATAATATAGAAAACACATTCACGTTCATCATCGGCATCAAGTTTTCTAACAAAAGATAGTTTAAGTCAAGGTTATATATCTGCTCAAGCTTCGCCAGTAAATAGTCCTGCTAATTGTACTTTTAATCCTGTAGAAAACGATACACTTATTGCTAAAGTACGATTGATTGGTAGAGATAATCTACTATATAAAAAAGTTCGAGTGAGTATCAATCGATTATATATCTATATTATGTTGTTGTTTTTTTGCATGGTAGTTCTACTAGACATTTGAGTGCTTAAAAAGAAAATAATCCCATATTAGAAACCACACATTACGAGAGAAAACAAAATTGCTATTTAAAAACCGACACATAAGAAGTCCTAGTTCGACTGAACTGGGTCGCAAATAAACGGCTCTTCAATTCTTTGCAGATGACCGGAAACTATGTCGTGCGGAAAATATTTTAAGCTTTCGTCTCCATTGTCAATATAGGTTACCACAAGCTAGTTGTTGTATATACATAATTTATTTTTAAGACGTATTAGAAGAACAACACAGCAGATATCTCTCGAGTTTTCCAAAGGATCTAAATAGAGAACGATTATACGTGCTTATCGAATGGAAAAATAAAATAAGAATAAAGTATTTTGTTTTCTCCATTTGAATATCTGTCTATTTATAGATCGGAAATAATGAACGTGCATCTAATGTATTAAAGACTATTCTTGATAAGTTTTGTATTGATCCAACAACACATGAAGACTATTGTATTGAACAACAATTGCCGACTCGAAGTAAAATTTAATAATTTCTGTTACTTTTGCTCTTATTAATATCTTATTTCATTAAGGACTACTTTTATTGGATCATTATAATGTATTTTATGCACTTGTTCGTCAATCAGATGATGAACAAGTTGAATTAATTGTACGGAAAAAGGTTCGACAAGAACGTGAACAAACAAAGAATTATTCTTAGTTAAATACAAGCCATAATCGAACACCGAGTGGATTAAGTATATCGTCGACTCATAGTCGTTGAAACATCAAATTCAATTTGTATATAAATTGCTTTGTTTTTGTCTCTTTTTTACACAGTGAACCCTCAATATAATATTTTTTATTCGTTACGCTAAATCTCTCATGTTTTTTTTCTTTTTCTCTTTTCTTTTCATACCGATCATATTTTCATTCCAAATATTGTGAGCAAAATATAAAAACTACGCTAATTTTTATGCATTTAATTATCTCTTATTGAAGGCTAATATGCTTCGTTTGTTTTGAAGTTTTGTACTAAAAACGGACGTGTTATTATTTAAAGGAAGAAAAAAAGAGATAAAATATTTAAATAATCTATTTATTCATACTAAATGCGAAGAAAAAGCAAAGAAGAAGAATTTAAGATTCACGCATCATGAATATAGAAGAGAGGAAAGAAGAATGCACGAGAAAATAGAAAGCCTATCCTAGTCTATCTATTTGTTAGTTTCAAAGAAACGCGAAGAAAATATTGTTTGTCATACTGTTTCCTGTCGTCATAATTATTCTTTTGCATACTTGCCGTCTAATATTCCACAAAGATAAAAAGTACAAGAACACGAAAAGTAATCATTCGATTGAGACACAAAGAACATGTAAGTACTAGTCGAAGAAATATTCCTCGAAGAAAACTGACTACCAAAAGGTTGAGAATTTTCATAAAACGATTCATTAACAATAAAGCAGAACGCGAGACTCACTAACATTGATGAACTATTTGTGTTATGGCTTAGGTTTTGTTGTCAGCATTACCCTGTTAATCTTGTTGATCTAGATTAGTCATACAGGACGAGTAGTGCAGGATGAAAAATAGTTTAGTTGATTTGCAACCTACAAAGATCATTGAGCACAGTTTTCTCATGTTAATCATAATAGGTTGTTGCCATCGGCTAGTAAGAGTCTATTTCATCATTATTTTTTCTTGAACATCTTTCTGAGAAAAACTCATCTACGTTTTCGACCAATCAATAAACAGCTATGCAACAATTCATTTTTAATTAACTTTTTCCTTTCACAACGATTATTTATTTCTCATATAGATTTAACGCACTGTCATAAATTGTAATATTTTATCTGATCACATTTTGTCGACTCATATTGTTTTGAGTACTCTCTTATCATTTTAGTTACCATCAAAAGAAAAAACTAATAGATAATAAAATAGTCGAAAGGTTAGTGAAGGACATGAGATCAACATTTTATAAATACTAGACATTTTTTAGTTTTTGAGTTCAGTTGATATGTCAAAGCACGGCGAAGAAAAACATAAACGAAAATTTCAATCAGGAAAAATTGGTGATCTAACTGTCAATAGTAATGATTCAACACATCAATTATCTATCCACATTCGGCATGGTCATAATAAATTTTGGTCGGAATCAATTCTACCATTAACATTATGCGTAGCATGTCCATTTCTTGTTCGATCTATTGTTTTCATATGTGATCATTCTCATGGATCTATTATGGAGTTTTTTTCACATATTTTATTCGATCAAACCATGACGTTAAAACAAGTTTTAGTCAATTTCTTTTACTTTCAATGGCATTGGCCATCAGCACTGATTATAATATCATTCTTAATATATGCTGTTATTATGACAATGTTAATACCAGGAGATGAATATTCAGGACCAATAACAGACACAGGCCATGTACCAGTTTATCATAATAATGGTTTTACTTACTATGTAATATCATTAATTTTATTTGCATTATTAACGGCACTACTTAAATTCAATAATATTTCTCCTACATACATATATGATCATTGGGAAGAGTTTCTTTCAACTGTGAATACATTTGCATTTCTTTTATGTTTTCTCGTTATTCTCAAAGGTAAATATATGCCATCGACAAATGATCATCGATCATCATCGAATTGGTTAACGGATTTTTATCGTGGAGTTGAACTTTATCCAAGAATATTTAATATTGACATTAAACTAATAACAAATTGTCGATATGGAATGTTATCATGGGCACTTCTATCGATTATTTTCTGTATGAAAACATTTGAACTTCATGGTTACACCGATAGTGCATTAGTTTCATGTTTATTAACGCTTGTCTATTTAACAAAGTTTTTCTGGTGGGAATCTGGTAAGTTTTTATTTTTGGTTGTTAGATAAAAACTAGAAGTTGATAATGGACGAGCAAACATTGACAATTATTTTTGTTTGCTCTTACAAAATAGAACGAATATGAATAGAGTCTATCCTCTTTGTTTTATCATAGTTTTCCTTCGTATTGAATTTCAACTGAAATTTAAACAAATTTCCTTTTACAATGTATGCAGTGGAAGTAACTCGTGGTTGATTGTTGGTTATGATTGTTAAAAAAAAGAAAAGAATGTATGCAAAACAACGGAGAATGTATTGTTTTAACTAGAAAATTTCTATTTGTCGGAGTGGAACAAAAATGACGATGAGCATACTTGACCTTAAAAAGTATTCTGAATTTCAATGAGCATCCATATGACATTCTCGATTAGAATAGTTCTTGATTTGCATAATGAAGGAAGTAAAAAAAATTTGGTTTGAAAGAAGCATTCATACATATTAAATAGACTCAACTAGTATTGCATGCAGATGTAGATGTAACTGGAAACATTCTCTTTTTAAACATTTTGATAAAAATAAACTACAGTGGCTAAAATCTAACATTTGAACTTATAATCAAACTCGAAAGAAATGCTTGCACTTGTGGATTCTTCGAGTTGATTATCAATAGTATTCAATTCAATATTTAGAACATGTCTATGATGAATGAGTCATTATTGAAAATATCAGATCTCGCCAAATAATTAGTTAGAAGTATCTATAAGAAATATTGAAAGTTCAAATACTGTGTTTTGATTTTTCAACACACACGACAAAACAGTAGCAAATCAATCATAGAACTCGATTGACAAGATTCTCTTCTAGTCTAATTCAGGTTTCATTGTCACTTCTATTTGAGTCTCAGAATTCGAGAAACAGTTGGATTGTTCACCGTCAATGTAGTTATAACACACTGAAAATCTTGGTAAAATAAATGAATATTTCAATAAGATAGATGTTTCAATGCTGTAGCAAACGTAAATAGCGATGCAATCAATATTCTGACGGGTGTTAAGTATCTATATATCACTTATAATAGGTCTATTTCGTTTCCTATTTGGAGAACTGACAAAATATTAGAAAAAATTGCGAATAATAATTTCTATTTAGGTTATATGAAAACTATGGATATTATAGTTGATCGTGCTGGGTTTTATCTATGTTGGGGTTGTCTCGTATGGGTATCTGGTATTTATACTCTTCCATCGTACTTTCTTGTTACACATCCAAATAAACTGGGTCTTAGTTCAACTATCGCCGTTCTTGCACTAGGTTTTCTTTCAATTTATATTAATTATGATTGTGATCGACAAAAAATTGATGTACGCACATCTAATGGTCAATGTGAAGTATGGGGAAAACAAGCTACTGTAATTCGTGCAAAATATCTTTTACTAAACGGTAAAGAATCTGAAAGTATTCTTCTTGCATCTGGTTATTGGGCTTTATCACGACATTTTCATTATGTACCTGAATTAGCATTAGCATTTCTTTGGTCATATCCATGTGGTTTTCATTATATTTTACCATATTTTTATTTTATATTTCTTTGTGTATTACTTATACATCGAGCTCATCGTGATGATCAAAAATGTCGACTTAAATATGGTGCAGTATGGGATAAATATTGCCAACTGGTTCGATGGAAAATATTTCCAGGATTGTACTAATGAATCAACAAGCAAAATGATTTCAGATTCTTTTGCTTATAATTACATTTTGCGTTTATAAACTAGCTAGTAACAAAATAAATCAAAATACAGCGATTGCTTAAACAAAAAATATACAAAAAAAAATCAATAGATCACACATTTTTCTAGATGTTGTTGCTTCTGTTGTTAAATATAAAATAAATTTCTTTGTTGTTGAACTTTGTCACGATTTTTGATATCACTGTTCTGCTTTTGTAGTTGTGCGATAAATATCTAGTGGACTTATTTCATCGCCACTAACTTTGCATATAAACGGATGAGGAGGCACAGGCAACGAGAAGGATAATGGAGCTCTTAAACGTGCTAAATCAGTATTCACAAGAAAAAGACGATTCTTCAAGTCATTGTACAAAGATATATCAAAGCCATGACGATGAGCCACACGGTAGAATTGCCGTAGAAAAAGTCGATCACTCCATGTCAAATATTCGAAATCAGAACGTGTCATTAAATAAAATGCATAAACTGCAATAACACTTCCATATGCAACAAAATAAGAAATAGGTTCAACTATATCCCATGAATAAACATCCCAGGTAAGTTCAGCTAAGGCACCAACTTGAAAAGACATTGCCGCTAGACCATACCATATACAACGTGATGTATAACGTTGACATTTATTTGCTAATTTATTTTTCATCTATGAAAATAAAGTAAATATCCATTGCATAAGAAACAAAAAGAGCCTTGAATTTAATTTACTTTTTCTAATGGTTCAAGTTGTGTTGTTAAGGTATCGGCTTCAGCTTTTAATTCAGCATATTTTACATGATAAATTTTCATGACATTTAATGCATAGTAAAGTGTTGCTACGGTATCTTCTATTGATGAGCTATCAGTTGTTGATTGTCTTACTATAGTGTCTTTTATTTGTAACTTATTAATAGGATCGAAAAGATATGTTCTTTGTCGATTCAATTGTATTGTAAAAGGTGATTGAATAAGAGAACTCATCCCGCAAGATTTGGAAAATAAAGTTCCTTTCTTATCAAATATCTGCACATGTTCAATGCCAGCATCTTCTTGTTGTATTTCATCAATCAGTTGACCCACCGTAGTTGTGTGTAAATTAAGGTGAAATCGACATGTTTCTTGACGCGATGGCAATATCAAGGACAAAACAAGGGCGCTATCAGAATACGAGATTGTTGGTTCTAATGATATTTAGAGATAAAGTGGATTAATATGATTTTCTTTTGTTTCTTCCGTTTACCTGGTATAGTATTAGTAGAATTATTTTTAACAAGAATTGTTTGAAGTAGTTTTGAACTAGTAGGAACATTGATGGCAGAACGCAGAAGCGAAGTAAGACGTACGGTACAGGAAAACATATTCTAGTAAGAATAAAGTTCTACATTGTATTTTAAGTGTGTTTGATTCTGAAAAGGTTTTCTTCTTGTTGGGTTGCTTTTTTTAAAAAGCAATTTTTATCGGTATCCTTTTTCGTCACTTATTCTTTACTTACATTTGTCGCCCCAAAAAGAAGAATATTATCATAGCAACATGAATTGCGAGAGGTAAACGAATGATGCAAAAGCCTTCAGATTCAGAACGAGAAAGAAAAAGAAACATACTTTGTCTTTTTTCTTCTTTCTTTCTTTCTGTCTTTCTTTCTTTCTTTCTTTCTTTCTTTTCTCGTTAGGATAGTATACGCCACCATGCCCGATATAATTTTACTAACGCTTTGGTAATAATGACAAGATTCTTGTTATTATGCAGGACATGTACGCGCGACGTTGCCTATACTGAATTCATAGGTTTTCATGTAATTGTAAAGCTTTCAGTTATTTTAAAAGAATATCAACACAATAATCGATGCACATATTAAAACGCATGAATACATACGATATTAATATAGAGTATTGTCAGTGTACGTGCGTATGTACATAAATATTATAAAATATAAAATATATTAACCACGTGCTTTATATTATTAACGCGAGAAAGAACGTTTTACTTTCTCAGTAAGCCGAGGATTGTCACAAAAAGAAGTCAATTTTTCTACAGTGATCACTACCTATCAATGTTGAAAGGAAATATCAAGTGTCCAAGTATATTTAGTAAATTCCGCTATTGAATATTTCCTCAAACAGAGAAACAAAAATCTCGTTACGCAAATGTTACAACGATAAGCATGTTCTTTTTTTTTCACTCGGTAGTAAATCTGTTAATGATAGAACATAAAAAATCATATTTTTTTACTTTAATCTCTACCGTACATGTAAAGAAAATACAAAGAAAAATATTTGTGCGCATAGTTTGAATGAAAAATTAAATAGGTGACCTTATAAGACTTCTTCTACGAACTCATTTCTTCTTCGTAAAATTAACCTTCTAACTATGCAATAAAAATGTTTTATTTATTATATCATATGAGTTATTTGCTTCATTAATACGCATTGTGTTTTGAAAACGTCTGATTGGTTGAAAAAGATTGATAACTAAGATAAGAGTGAAAAGTATACTCGATATTATTCACCTATGCGAACACTGATGAACAGAAAGACAGCCTATAACTGATCTTATTAAAACGTAGAACAACCTCAGTTGTGTTCACTAATACTCTCATTAAATAAAATTCTTTCTTCTAACTACGAGTACTGCAAAAGAATCCGTACAAAAAAAAGTAATGAGCACTTATTTCACTTCGTTTTCAACAGGTAATAACAAATTTCAACCGGAAGCATGTCGACAATTGTTTCCTACAGTCTACAGATAACTAACGAAGATTGGTTGATTTCATCATTATGTTGAGAATTATTAACTTGAGTATAATTATACTGTAGAGAATAAAGGGTCTTTTCAAAACATCTTCGAATGAAATGATGATCATAGATTTGTTTTTGAGAAAAAATAGTTTTACGATATTAGAATATTTTCTTACATATACTAATAGTAATTTTATGATCGATTTCTTCTTAAGGATTTATCGTGATGTTGCATTCTAGCACATCGCAGAGGACTTGTTTTGTATTTATAAGATCAAGCATGTTTTCGTCTTTCCTTACACAGAGTCGACGGGTGTTCGCATCATGTGAATACCTGTCAGAGAGCGAATCGAACCGACTTTTTCTGATTTGAGTTCGGTTCGGTTCGTCTTTTTTTTTTCAAGTCGGTTTGAGTTTGGTTCTGTTTGTCTTTCTTTTTTTAAAGTCGGTTCGGGTTCGGTTCGGTTCGGTTCGAGTGTATTTTTAAAAAATCAGTTCGGGTTCGGTTCGGTTCGAGTACATTTTTAAATAGTCGGTTTGGGTTCGGTTCGGTTTGATTGTATTAACATTGCAATATATATTCGATAATTATCGAATTTATTCTTTAATTTTTTATTCACATGACAAGTTGAAATGAGTAGTGTATTGGAACAAAAATATAACTTTTACACTAATGTCAAGATAGAAGTGAAAGAGAAATGATGATAGAGCATCTGTTTGACATTCATATACTATCGTCAATTAGACGAGCATCCGTCCATTCTTTGCAGCGTAAGACAATGGGAGAAAAAAAGAGAGATAAATTAAGAATGTATCACCCTTACAAGTGACCGACCGTCACGAACAGAGTGTGTACGTAATATGAATAAGGAACAAAATATTGTACACAGGTTGAATTAATTACCTAAAAGAACTGATCAAAGGTCTTTTAACCATTGTCAGCAGCATATATTTTTAAGAAATAGATGATAGTGCACCTAATTAGATTTTTTTCTACATTGACTTGTATTTATTCATTTTTTCAATATCTTTTTCGAGTTCGGTTCGGTTCGAGTGCATTTTTTAAAAATCGGTTCGGGTTCGGTTCGGTTCGAGTGCATTTTCTAAAAATCGGTTCGGGTTCGGTTCGGTTCGGTTCGTTTTCGCTCTCTGATACCTGTCACCAAACCGTAACGTAGAAAATCACACGAATATCGATAACTAAAATCAACATTACTATTTTCTGATTTTCAAAATAGGCGTCTTAGATAATGAGATAATCATAGTAATTTTACTATGAAAATTGTTTAGTTGATAAATAATCCAAACTTGAATATCTTTCTGAAAGGGGTAAATGGAAACCAATATCTAAAAATATAGCAATCTATATCTAATTTTAAAATAGATTTGTATCTAATTAAGAAAATAATATTTCTAATTTTAAAATTTATTTATATCTAATTGATTAAGTAACACTACCTAACAACACAAAGTTATATACAGTTAATTATTAAAGTAATAGAAAAAACTCTTGAGGGTGCGGAGTGTGGGTATGGGTGTTCTTATCTCTCTTCACACCCACATCCCACCCAAGATATTTTTTAAACTAACTTTTTTCTTATCACTTATCGTCATTTCCAGCTCATATATATACTCTTTCAATTAATTGATAAGTACTTATCAATTATAGATTACGTTAAAATTAATTAGACAAGTCGATAAATTTATTGATAGTCATTTGTTAAAAGTGATAATATATTGAATTAAAAGACAGAACATTTTTTCATTCAGATATTTAATGGAGATTTAGAAGATGTTGAATTATAAAATTAGATTAAACAATTTTTTAAAGGCATCCTTTCACCAGAATAGATCCTACTGTATTAAGTTAGGCAATATTGATATAATTTAGATATGGATTGCTATATTTTTAGATATTACATTAAATGCATGCCTTTCTGAAAGAAATGATTTGTTTGAGCGAATTCAACATTATGCGTCAACTTGCAATATTATGGAAACAAACAGAATCAACTGAAAAACAAATCCCTAACTATTACAGCAATATTTTGGACATTTGAGTTTGCTTGAAAGGTAATCATATCCAATCACAATCACCACGCGGTTGAGATAACCTGGGGGACGGGTTTCGGTTTCGTTGCAAAGCAATAGTCCGCCAACAACAACGTCTATACTTGGTACTATGTAAACAACTGAACAAGAGGCAGGTACCACCAATGACTCGACTATCGATTTTTCTTTTTACGAAACTCGAGATTTCATCCTTCGCATCTAATTTCGTAGTCGAATCGAAACTCGAATATCGTCTAGTTTTAGCATCAGCTTCGTTCTGTCCATATCTAGTGACTTCTAACTTTGACTTGTTGATATGCATTCTCAAATTGATTATGCTACAAATGATTACTCATCTACATTTAGCACAGAATATACCAAAAGATAATCTTCGCTGATGAAAATCAAGATGGATTATCAACCACCCTTAATGAATCAAATAATTATACAACTACGCATATCAAGCGAAACGAAAACTCCTTAACGTTTTACTGATAGTTTTTTTTAAAGTTATCGTTCGACTAGGTCCTATTGTAATAAGATTTTTATCATCACGTTCAACAATACGTACAGCAACAATTACATTAACTACTTCATTATTTGTTTCATTTTATATAAATGAGAATATTTCCAATACTAACGGAATGAATACTGCACTAGGGGGGTGAATGGGTGTGAGTCTTCCCTTCGTTGGCATCGTAATTTATCCACACTTATATCCTCAAGTGTCACGAAAATTTGGGAAAGTTATTAACCTAAGAGTATCCCCTGAAAGAAAGTGACTCATCCAAATTTCTGTCAGTTTTATTGAACATTTAAAAGCATCACTACAAACAAAATAATGAAGTTTTCCTTCTATTTTTGAATCAATTTAAGCATTTTCCTTTCAGCTAGCCGCATTCTTAAGCAATAGGTCTCATAGATTATTCTTGCAATTGTAAGGAAAAGTGTAAATTGACTTATACCGGTACACATTCATACCAATAGGCACAGCCAAAAACATTATCGTTGTGTTTCCTACGTCGAATGCGGTAAAAAGTCTACTCAATAAGTTATGATTTTAATAATCAATCAAATTCATACTCCACAAAGATTGCACAAATGAAGTGTGACACAGTAATTGTTGTTAAGAAAAACGAAACAAGGTTATTTTCTCAGCGCCAAAGATTATGGCCGTTATATTTGGAACTAAGGTTTTGCGTGTGGTTATTTATGAATGATTCTAAACGAAATGTCACTTGTAAAAATGCTATTTTTATTGAATATTTCCGTATAATTTAAGATAACAACACCTAGCTTCTATCCTCGAAATTTCTTAATCACCTTAATTCATTAATTAAAGATATCACCTGTCATTTTAGAGACCCATTTTTCATTGAATATCTTCTATTCAACATCGGATTTCTCACATAATCAAGAATACTTTCACTTATTATTATGAATGGCAGCTCCGAGAAAATCCTAAAAATAGTTAAGCTCAATATATGATGACATATCTGTTGTACTATATTAGTAAAGAGAAATATCTCTCGAAAATTGTAGAATATTCTGACGTTTATCAACGTCATAACTTTATAGAAAACTTAATTAGAAAAATTCGTTGATGCTCCGCCTATTTTAATCGGAAAACAAAGATGTAAGAATTTCCACGGATGAAATTTCATAATAAATGACTTTTTTTTTCTTACAAATCGTTGGTAGTTGTCATTTCACTTCAGCCACAGTCTGCCAATATTTGTCGGGTACAACGAGACAAGAACAACATTGTGATATCTACACTCTGATGTATCTTAGTGATTAGAATAATTAGTTTATAGGGTGTCTCTCTTCTGCGTTTGTAGTTTCTATTTATAGAAGTTTTATCTTATATACTAAAAAATACCAAATATATTTGACAATTTTTGTTAAAATCATTACAAAAATTTATTTATTTCAATATAGAGCAAAGAAAATCAAATCGTCAATCACCTCCAATTGCACGATGACGAGTAGCAATTTATGATGGTCGACCCAGGGCTGGAACCGGTCCGGCCGGACCGGTTAAGAAATTCAATCGGGCCGGTAAATACCGGAAAATCGCCGGTTGAAATTTTAAAATAACTATCTTCATTTAGCTCTGTTTTGTTAAAAAGATGTTTTATCAGTATATATATACATTTATTTATATATAAAAAGTCCTTTAGCTCTGTTTTGTTAAAAAGATGTTTTATCAGTATATATCTATATACATTTATTTATATATAAAAAGTCCTATAAATCTGTTGATGCTGCAAAATTTTTGTGGAATTCAGAAGAAATATTGACTATAATCATAAACACCAGTAATAAATCTCATTTTCTTTCATAGTAAAGAGAAATCAACGGAAGTGCGACAGTTGATCAATTTGGTTGGTCAATGCATTATCAACAGTGATCTTTTTTTCTGTCGTGTTTTATTTCTTTCTCGTCCGTCTTTGCCGGAATTTCACTGGTTCGAGAATAATTTATGTCCGGCCGGTTTACCGGTCGGACCGGACNTGTCTTGTTTTATTTCTTTCTCGTCCGTCTTTGCCGTAATTTCACTGGTTCGATAATAATTTATGTCGGGCCGGTTTACCGGTCGGACCGGACCGGTAAATGTTTTTAACCGGCCGGACAGGACCGGTTTATAAATATCTTACCGGCTCCAGCCCTGGGTCGACCAACACCAAGACAAATCCATCGTCGCAGACAATTTAATCCACCACATGACTACGATGCTGAAACACAACATGATAATAATGATGATGTAAGTAAACGAATAATTTTCTATTTTATGAATAATTTTTGTTCTTTAGATGATTTTTATCCAACAACAATACATCACCATGTACGAATTAATCGTAATATAGGCAGGAGCGTAAGTCAGGTCTCAGAGCAGGGGGGGGGGGGGGGGGTTAACAGAAAATTTTGGTGTT